TCAAAACAGCCTGGTACTGGTACAGCAGCAGATGCATAGACCAATGGAACAGAGTTGAGAATCCAGATATAAGCTCATCCACCTGTGAGCAGCTGATACGTGACAAAGGCCCAAAGTCTGTTAATTGGGGAGAAGACGGTCACTTTAACAAATGATGCTGGCATAACTGGATATTCATCTGCAAAAAACTGAAAACAAGACCCATACCTCACACCATGGACAAAAACTAACTCAAAATGGATCAAAGACTTAAATATAGAATCAGAAACAATAAAGATCATGGAAGAAAAAATAAGGACAATGCTAGGAGCCCTAAAACATGGCATAAACACAATATGAACCATAAGTAACACTGCACAAGCACCAGAAGAGAGACTAGATAAATGGGAGCTCCTAAAAATCAAACACTTATGCTTATCAAAAAACTTCACCAAAAGAGTCGAAAGACAACCTACAGACTTGGAAAAAAATTTTGGCTACGACAAATCCAGTCAGCATCTAATCTCTAAAATCTATAAGATACTGCAAAACCTCAACAACAAAAAGACAAATAACCCAATTAAAAAATGGGCAAAGAATATGAACAGACACTTCACCAAAGAAGGCATTCAGGCAGCTAACAAACACATGAAGAAATGCTCGCGGTCATTAGCCATTAGAGAAATGCACATCAAAACTACAATGAGATATCATCTCACCCCAACAAGGCTAGCATTAACCCAAGAAAACACAAAATAATGCTGGAGAGGTTGTGGAGAGACTGGAACACTTATACACTGTTGGTGGGAATGTAAAATGTTACAACCACTTTGGAAATCGATTTGGCGCTTCCTTAGAAACCTAGGAATAGAAGTACCATTAGATCCAGCTATCCCGCTCCTTGGAATATATCGTAGAGAAATAAGAGCCATCACACGAAGAGATATATATGCGCACCCATGTTCACTGCAGCACTGTTCACAACAACACAAAGATGGAAACAATCTAGGTGCCCATCAACAGATGAATGGATAAACAAATTATGGTATATTCACACAATGTAATACTACGCAATGATAAAGAACAATAAGGAATCTGTGAAATGTCTCATAACATGGATGAATCTGGAAGGCATTATGCTGAGTGAAATTAGTCAATCACAAAAGGACAAATATTGTATAAGACCGCTATTATAAGAACTCAAGAAAAGGTTTAAACACAGAAGAAGACATTGTTTGATGGTTATGAGGGTGGGGAGGGAGGGTGAGGGTTATTCACTAGCTAGATAGTAGACAAGAATGATCTTAGGTGAAGGGAAGGACAGCACACACTACAGGGAAGTCAGCAGCACTGGACTAAACTAAAGCTAAGAAGTTTCCTGAATACCGTCAAACACTTTGAGGGACAGAGTAGCAGGGGTAGGGGTCTGAGGATCATGCTTTCTTGGGACATCTAGGTCAATCGGCATAACAAAGCTTCTTAAGAAAATGTTCTGCACCCTACTTTGGTGTGTGGTGTCTGGGGTCTTAAAAGCTTGCAAGCGGCCATCTAAGATGCATCAATTGGTCCCAACCACCTGGAGTAAAGGAGAATGAAGAACACCAAATACACATGGAAAGTATTAGCCCAAGAGACAGAAAGGGCCACATAAACCAGAGACTTCATCAGCCTGAGACCAGAAGAACTAGATGGTGCCCAGCTATCACCAGTGACCGCCCTGACAGGGAACACAACAGAGAGTCCCGGATGGAGCAGGAGAAAGGTGGGGTGCAAAACTCAAATTTTAGTAAGAAGACCAGACTTAATGATCTGACTGAGACTGGAGGAACCCTGGAAAGCATGGCCCCTAGATTCTCTATCAGCCCAGAACTAAAATAATTTCCAAGGCCAACTCTTCAGACAGGGATTGGACTGGACTGTGGGACATAAAGGGATACTCGTGAGGAATGTGCCTCTTAGCTCAAGTAGATACAAGAGACTAAACGGGGAGCTTTTGTCCGGAGGTGAGATGGGAAGGCAGAGAGGGTTAAGAGGGTTGAATGGACACAGCGAATCAGGGGTGGAAAGGAGGAGTGTGCTGTCACAGTATGGGGAGAGCAATTAGAGTCACATAACAATGTATGTATAAATATTTGTATGAGAAAAAATGAAGAAAAAAATTTAAAACTTTTGCTGTGTGAGGAAAACTATTAAGGGAATGAAAAGGCAAAGTCCAGACTGGGAGAAGATGTTTGGAAATCACAAATCTGCAAAGGACTTGTATCCAGAATATAAAATGAAATCTAAAAACTCAATAGGAAGAAAACAGACAGCCCAGTTAAAAATAGTCAAAAGATTTGAACAGACACTTCACCGAAAAAGATACACAGATGGCAAATAAGCCCATGAAAAAACACTCATCACCAGTTATCAGGGAAATGCAGATTAAAACCACAAAGAGATATCACTACACACTTATTTGAATGGCTTAAAAAAAAGAAAAAACCAAACTGACAATAGCAAGTGCTGTTAAGGATGCAGAGCAGCTGGAACTCCCATAGCTTGCTGGTGAGAATGCAGAATGTTACAGCCATTCTGGAACACAGTTTGACAGTTTCTTACAAGGTTAATTATACACTTCCCGTATGACCTGGTCCACTCCTAAGTATTTACCCTAGAGAAATGAAAACTTACATTTACACAAAAACCTGTCCATGAATGTTTATAGCAGCTCTATTTGTAATCACCCCAAACTGGAAATAACTTAGATGTCCTTCAGTGGATGAAAGGGTAAACAAACCTTGGTACCTCTATCCGTTAGAATACCACTCAGCAATAAAAAGGAGTGAACTACTTTTATATGCAACAACATGGATGAATTTTCAAAGGTATTATACTGAGTAAAAGAAGCCAATCTCAATTTTACATACTGTATGATTTCATTTATATAACATTCTGGAAAAGGCAAAACTATAGGGACAGAGAACAGATCAGTGATTGCCAAGGGTTAGGATTGGGCATTGGATCTGCCTACAAAGGGAATTTTAGTGGGGTGATGGAACCTTTCTGTATCCTGATTGTGATGGTGGTTACACTAATCTATACATATGTTAAAACAGAATTATGTATACCCACATGCAATTCAGTTGCATGTAAATTTAAAAGTTAATCATTAAAAAATCCGTATTAATACATACAACTTCAAAACAACAGTGAAGCCATGTGGGTCCAAAACCAAAAACCTGTTGCCCTCAAGTAGATTCCAGCTTATACCAACCCTATAGAACAGAATAGAACTGTCCCATAGAGCTTCCAGGGAGGGGCTGGTGAATTAGAACTCCTGACCTTTTGGCTAGCAGCTGTGTCCTCAACCCCTGTGCCACCAGGGCTCCACCACATGGATGATGGATTGATAATCAGCTTCTTCATCCTCTCCTTATGTACGTAGATGCTTCCTGCTCTATGCTGAGAATAAATACGACCTTATCATAAACACAGAGTACCAGCCTAAGATGAGCCATCCTTAAACATACTGTGTATCTTGTTCAGCCCAGTGGGGGTGATAAAATATATTTAAATGCTTTGATTTTTAAAGGCTGTTCTAATAGCTGAATGGTCATGTCAAAATAGACCTCAGAAATCTTTGCATTGATAGTCTTCCTCATCCTGACTTCCCAAGAGATTTATTATCAATACTTGTTTAATAATTTCAGTATAGTTTCCTGTTTTTTGTTGTTTTTTTTTAAGCACAACCTAATGATTAAGGCTAAACTGCCTGCATTTGAATCTTGGCTTTGTCTTCCACCTACCAGCTGTGTGACCTTGGGCAAATTACTTACTGTCTCTGTGCCTCAGTTTGCTCATTAATAAAATGAAGAAAATAACAATAATACTTGTCTTATATAAGTGTTAGGTATTATTGTTATCGTTATGTGTCATATAACATCATAACTAATATTGTTACAATTATTATCTTCTCTCATCTGTCTGTCTCATAAATAGTATCTTCTCTCATCTACACTGTAAGCTGAGGTCAGAAATTTATGTACCTTTTTTTTGTGTGTGTTCCCTGTAGTATATGAAATAAATTTCTTTTTAAAAAAATCTCTATATATCTGACTCTCTAGGTAGATATAGAGCTTAGATACAGATATAGATTATAGATATGTTGTTGTTGTTATTGGGTGTCATTGAGTTGATTCCAACTCATAGTGACCCCATGTGACAGAGTAGGACTGTCTCATAGGGTTTTCTTGGCTGTAATCTTTATGGAAGCACATTATCAGGTCTTTCTCCTGTGGAGATATATATAGATTAGATATAGATATAGTGTTTATCCAGAAGAGGAACTGAAGTATATTTCTAATTCAGATCTATAGGCGAGAGCATACAAATTTGCTCAGGATAATTTGCAAGCAACAAAATAATTAAATTAGCAGCACCATGTATCAGATGTGATTAAAAAGAACGCTAGTGCTCTTTAAAATCATTTTTAAAATCCCTTATTTCTTTTGAAAGTAAGTGATTTTAAAAAGTACATAGGATCTCCCTGTTCCTTTTGAGGAAGAAAATCTACTCACTTCTTAAGATTTGGTAACCTGAAGAAGTTTGAGACCAATAACTTATTGAACAAGAAAACCAGACGTGCTATATAACATTATCTGTGAAGACAAAAAAGGATGAACATTTCAGTGATTCTGAAATTAGTTTAAGAAAATAGAAGGCCAGTCCAGATGGTTGAAGAGTTATAGAACATTAGGCCTAAAAGGGACTTTGGTTTTATAACCTAACCCTCTCTTTTGTGTTGTTTTTGAATAGGATAATTCAGGTCCTAAGCCCCCATCTTTGCCCTCATAACCTTGTTTTCTGGCTTGAATTATCTGGATAATTAATTGAACTTTGCACTTTATTTTCCCTGTCTATATAACTTACATTTGTTTGTTTGTTTCCAAAGTAAGTACTAAAGTATAAAGATATATGTTCATTTTTTAGTCCCAAGAATTCTCTTCCAAAATTTTCAGTTACGACTTTATTTTCCTTAGGCAAATTGCAAAAAGAAGGCACTTTATCACGAGTATCTGATGAAAGTGTCAATAAAGTTCAGGAAGTGGAGTCCCCAGTATTTAAAGAACTGCCAGGTGCCAAGGCTAATGACGACAGCACTGTCCCTCTCACGGGGTCGGCCGGGGAGACCTCTGGGACCTCAGAAGGCGCACCAGTGGGAAACCATCCTCGGGTCCCTTATGGTAAGATGTGTGCCCAGGGCTTGGGTTTGCATGGTGGCAGAGAGAAGTTCCTAGGGGTAACCAGCCGGGTCTGGGCACGGGCAGTCAGGTTTTTAAAAGTTGCCCCCAACTTTATGTTTTGAGAAAAACCCAGAGGCTAAAAAGGCCTTGGGAAACCATTCTTCAGTCAACAGAGCACAGTTATGCTTGTCCTGTGATTTTCTTCCAAGAGATATTTATAGTCTTATCAGAGGCGCCGGGGCCCACAGCCTGTGTCTCTGAGCAGTGCTTACTCAGCTGCCCATGCGTATTGTCCATGCTGCAGGGCTTACCTAATTGCTGAAGATGGGTTTGCTCAGCTTACTAAGGTTGCCTTCCTCATGGAAGACACGTAGAGAAAGGTAACATTGGATCTGAGGAGATCATTCCCACCATAGGATCACAGAAACCTTAGAAAACATCAAGACCATCCTGGCATGTCCTTTTGTCCCATGACATTTGTGGACAATTGTGGGCAAGCCCAGCCTCTGCCCAAGGCTCTTCAGGCCGCTTTTACCTCCCTGCAAGGTGGCCCCTGGCACCAGCTTCCTGGAGGTGCAGCCCTTGACTTGGCCAAAGAAAACAAATTAATTGTTCCCCACCAGTATGACAGATCCTACGTTCTGACTGTCATTATTGGCCTTTTAAGGAGCACCTATAATATCTGGGGAAACCCTGGTGGCATAGTGGTTAAGAGTTCGGCTGCTAACCAAAAGGTCGGCAGTTTGAATCCACCAGCCACTCCTTAGAAACCCTCTGGGGCAGTTCTTCTCTGTTCCGTAGGGTCGCTATGAGTCAGAATGAACTCGATGGCATCAAGTTTGGTATAATATCTGGAGTTGTGTCCCTCGTATGTGGAGTTTTTCTAAACTAGGTTCCTCTTAAGGATTCTCCCTTTGTTGGTATCCAGACGCAGGAAACAGTGGTAATTTCAGAAAGACACCCTTTAGGAGCGCTTAAATAACATCTTTTTAAAAAGTACTGCGTTGGTAGTTGTACCCTTTTGTTATATGTTTCTACTCTTTTTTTAAAATTGTATTGTGCTTTAGGTGAAAGTTTGCAGCTCAGGTTAATTTCTCATTCAGACGTTTATACACACATTGTTTTGTGACATTGGTTGCAATCCCCACAATGTGACAGCACACTCCCTCTTTCCACCCCGGGTTCCCTGTGTCCATTCGTCCAGTTCCTGACCCTTCCTGCCTTCTCTTCTTGCTTTTGGATAGGAGTTGCCCATTTGGTTCTAAGTTTCTTTTTTTTTTTTTTAATTTTATTTTAACTATATTACATGTCCTTCATAGTCAATTTAGAAAAAACATGTTAAAGTATAGAGAAAAATTAAAGGCCACTCATAATCCGACCTTCTAGAGAGAGCCACCATTAAACTCTGGAGGTGGTGGGGAGAGTGTTTCCTCCCAGACGTGATTTTATATTCAAAAGGCCAGAAAAGTAAGCTGTTTTCACCCCCTTTTCAGGAAGGGCGCTGTCCATGACTCATGGCTCTGCAAAGTCGCCCATCTCCAACGGCACATTTGGTTTTGATGGCCACACGAGGAATGACAGTCATGTGTACCACACTGTGCACAAAGACTCGGGGCTCTACAAAGACTTACTGCACAAAATCCACGTAGACAGGGGGCCTGAGGAGAAGCCCGCCCAGGAAAACAACTATAGGTTGCTACGGCGAAATAACAGTTACACGTGCTACACAGCGGCCATTTGTGGGATGCCAGTGCACTCCACTTTTAAAGCTGTCGATTTGTCGTCTGCACCGGAGGACAGTGAAAAGCTGGTGGGTGACACCGTGTCCTATTCTAAAAAGAGACTTCGCTATGACAGCTACTCAAGCTACTGCAACGCGGTAGCGGAGGCTGAGATAGAGGCAGAAGAGGGAGGTGTGGAAATGAAGCTGGCGTCTGAGCTGACCGATCCTGACCAGCCTCGGGAGGACCCCATAGAAGAGGAGAAGGAGGAGAAAGACACAGCAGAGGTGCACCTCCTGTTCCATTTCCTGCAAGTCCTTACTGCCTGTTTCGGATCGTTTGCCCACGGTGGCAATGACGTGAGGTAAGTACGTTGATTCCTTCATTCAGCAACGATGTACTGAGGGTCTGCCATGTGCCAGGTACTAATTTGGGTGCTGGGGTACAGCAGTGACCAAGTTAGACAAAAATCCCTGCCGTTAAGGAGATCACATTCTAGTCGGGGGGTGGGAATGCTAACAGACACTAAACAAATAAATAAGTAGCATGTCTAGGATGATACCCAAAATACCAAACCCGTTGCCATCAAGTCGATTCTGACTCCTGGCGACCCCGTGTCTTATAGAGTAGAACTGCCCCAGAGGGTTTCCTTGGCTGTAATCTTTATGGAAGCAGATCACCATGCCCCTCTTCTGTGCTGTTGCTAGGTACGTTCAAACTGCCAACCTTGAGGTTAATGTTGTAAGTTGTTGTCAGGTCAGTTCCGACTCTTGGTGACCCCATGTGTAGGTTAGCAGTTGAGCGCAAACCGCTTGCACTACCCAGCCACCATCTAAGATGATAAACAGTGATAAATGTTAAAGGGAAAAATAAAGTGGAAAAGGGAACAGGGACACTTGGGGGATTGCAGTTTTAGATTAGCTGCTCAGGGAAGGGTTGGCCCAGTGCCATGTGAAGGGAGTGAGGGAGCCAGCCATGGGCATCTGGGGCAAGAGTATTCCGGAAGAGGGACCAGCAGGGGCAAAGGCCTGAAGCAGAAGTGCACCTGGTGCATTCCAGAAACAGCAAGGAGGCCATGGAGGGGAAAGTGTAGACAGCAAGATCATTGAGTCACAGAGGCCCAGCATATGCAGGGCTGTATAAACAGAGGAGTTTTTGCTCTAGAGAGAGGGGAGCCATCGGAGGTTTTGAGCAGAGGTCAACATGATCCGCATTTAACAGGATCACTCTGGCTTTTGTTTTGTGAATAGACTCACAGGAAACAAGGGCACAAGTAGGGAGACCAGTTAGGAGGTTATTGCAAGAATTCAGGGGAGAAGTGATATGGCTTGGACCAGCGCGTGGCAGCACAGATAGAACCTGGGTATATTTTGAAGGTAGAACCAGTAGAATATGCTGACAGATTAGGTATGGGCTGTGAGAGAAAGAGAAGAAGCAGGCTGAACCCCACCATTTTGGACTAAGAAACCTAAGAATGGAGTGGCCACTTATTAGAAGGGGCGCCTGTGAGAGAAGCAGGTTTGGACGTGTTAAGTTTGAGGTGGAGCCCCTGCATGGTACAAACAGTTAATGCCATTGGCTGCTAACTGAATAGTTGGCGATTCAAGTCCACCCAGAGGCACCTCAGAAGAAAGACCTGGCAATCTACTTCCAAAAAATCAGCTGTTGAAAACCCTACAAAGCACAGTTCTGCTCTGACATACATGGGGTTGCCATGAGTTGGAGTTGACTCTACGGCAACTGGTTTGACTGGTTTTAAGTTTGAGATGCCTTTGATAGCCAAGCGACAAGGTTGAGTGGGCTCTGGCTGTGTGAGTCTGAAGTTCAGGGGACAGGTCCAGGCTGGGACTCCTTTGTCTGCTAAGAGTATGAGACTGGGATGGAGCACCTAGGGAGTGAGTGTAGCTAGAGGAGAGAGGACCTGAGCCCTGAGCACCCCAGAATTGAAGGGTGTGGGAAACAAGGAAGAAACAGAAAGAATGAGATTTGTCAAATCAGTAAGTTTATGAGAACTTTCAAAGAGGTGACTTGTCATGTGTACTCAGCATCTACCTGGAAGCAGACCTTTCTACACCCTCAAATCAGTTCTTTATTCATTTAAAATTTGCAGTGTGTTACAAAAAGATGTTTTCATAACTTCAAACAAAGTATTAGACTGGTCACTTAGCAGCTTCCCACTCATTCACTTAGTCAGCAAACATTTATGGAGCACCTACTATGTGCCAGATCTTGCATGAAGCCCTGGAGCTAGAAAGATGAATAAAATATGGTCTGTGTGCTCCCTTTGTTCAGGGCCTAAGGGAGAGCAGACGTGAACAATAACTAGTGTGATGAGCGATAAATGAGCTCTGAGAGAGGACAGAGGAGGGGGACCAGCTCTGTCTGGGGGAGCTGAGAGAAAAAGCTTCCGGAGAGGTGACATTGTAGCAGGGTCCTAGAGGCTTTAACAGGAGTTTGTCAGACAGAAACAGGACAACAGCATTTTACGTAGAGGAAATGTTATATATTTACTATCTCTTTTTTCCTTTTCAAGACACTTTAACACCGTCATTTTTTTTTCCTGACAAGAACTCATACACATACACAAAAACATGAATCTAGTTTAATTTGGGGCTCTCAAAATTACTGCAAACGTGATTACTTAATCCCCCTTGGTTCATTCTTAGAGTTCCAAAATTTTCTGGCTAAGATTTTCTTTTGCTGGAGGTAGCATAGCAAGGAGGTTGAATGTTCAAGGGACAGCGTTGGAATTTTTTTTATTGTACTTTAGATGAAGGTTTACAGAGCAAACTAGTTTCTCATGAAACAATTAATATATATATTGTTTTGCAACATTGTTCGCCAACCCCATGACACATCAGCACTCTCCCTTCTTGACCTTGGGTTCCCTATTACCAGCTTTCCTCTCCCCTCCTATCTTCTTGTCCTTGCCCCTGGGCTGGTGTGCGCATTTAGTCTCGTTTTGTTTTATGGGCCTGTCTAATCTTTGGCTGAAGGGTGAACCTCAGGAGTGACTTCATTACTGAGCTATAAGGGTGTCCAGGGGCCATACTCTCAGGGTTTCTCCAGTCTCTGTCAGACCAGTAAGTCTGGCCTTTTTTTTTTTTGTGAGTTAGAATTTTGTTCTCCATTTTTCTCTAGCTCTGTCTGTCCAGGACCCTCTATTGTGATCCCTATCAGAGCAGTCGGTGGTGGTAGCTGGTCACTGTCTAGTTGTGCTGGACTATTTACTCTGTCTTGCCTTAGTTTCCTCACCCATAAGATAGGGAAAGCAGCATCTCCCTGACAGGATTGTTGTAAGCATTAAAAGAGTCAGTATCTGCATTTTGATCAAAGATTCTATAGGAGAAGCCTGATCAAAAGGGGGAAGAATGCAGAACAGAATCTCAAATTATAAATGTAATCCAGACTTTCTGGAGCCATAGAGGCTGGATGAGCTCCCAAAACTATTGCCCTGAGATATTAAACTTTAAACCTTAAACCAAAACTGTCCCCTGAAGACTTTGTACCAAAAAATAGTTTATCTTAATAAATAAAGCATGTCTGTCTTGAGCATTGGGCTCTTTTAAAGAATTATCTATGTGAGATCAAATTGACAACAGCAACTTGAAAGGTTAGATGAGAAACGTAAGGGGCAGTGATTTTAAGTCAATGGTGGTGGAACAATTTAGTGAAGGATGGCAAAAATGTTTGCACAACTTGAAGAATGTAATCAATGTCACTGAGACGTACATGTAGAAATTGCTGAAATGGCGTATGACTGTATATTTTTAAACACACAGACGCAAAAAAGGAGTCTGTATCTGTAAAGTACTGAGAGCCCAGTGCTGACAGGCGGGCAGCAAGTGTGCACCCGTGTCCACTGTTCTCTGTGGCAGCAGACATGCTTGCAGCAGTGGTGGTACAAGCAGAGGTGGGATCAGAGCACGGGATACATGGGCACGGACTGGCCCAAGGACCATGCTAAGTAACTACCCGCTGGCTATGCTGCAGGCAGAGTCTACTTTGGGGAGTTGGGGGATGTGCAAGGCCCAGGAGTCTTGACCTGGGGTGGAGCGCTGAGGGAGGGCTCTAGCTCAGGGACAACTCCTGGGGATTCTTCCAGACTGGGAACGGCCCACGGTCAGACTGGACTCCCTGGGTAAGATAACTAGTGGGACGTTGCCGAGTGGCTGAACAGTTTTCCTTCTGTGGAATGAGAACAGCTACATTGTTCAGCACCACCTCAGCTCTACAGTCTCCCCTGCTCCGAAAATGCAGACTCTGTAGCTGCTCTACGTAGCTCTTGGGTAACCCGATGTAATAATGTAACAGGCTTTCTTTTCTCCTGCTCAAAAGCCACACCAAACCAAACCTGCTGCCGTCAAGTCGATTCCGACTTACAGCGACCCTATAGGACAGGGTGGAACTGCCTCCTAGGGTTTCTAGTGAGCGGCTGGTGGATATGAACTGCTGACCTTTTGGTTAGCAGCCCAGCCCTTAACCAGTGCACCACCAGGGCTCCCCTGCTCAAAAGAGGAAGTTAAAACAGGTGAGGAATGAACCTTCCTGCCTCAGCCTCACCTGGCCCATCTCTGTGCCCAGGCCTGTGCCTGTGGGAAGCCGGGTAGCCTCCTGGAGACCGAGAGCCTCAAGTTTGAGCCTGTACCGTTTTCTTACTGGCTGCATGGCCTTAGAACAAGTTACTTGATTTCCCTAAGCCTCAGTTTCCCATCTGTAAAATGGAGATAAAACTAGTACCAGTCTCATAGGGATTCCATGAGGATTACTAAGTGAGCTCCTTTGTAAAAAGTGCTCAAGACAGTGCACTGCACATACATAATCAGCTTCTATACATTTTCACTATTATCATAATTCTGCTAGGATTCACCTGCGGGGCTAATATTTCATCTGAATCAGGCAAAAACACTCTGTTGCATTTTTTATTGCCCAGGTTTATGACTCTCTAGATTACAGCTATGGGTTTCCATACCTGTTACACATGTGCAACTGCATTTCTGTTCTATTTTAAAGAAGTCTTGCTGCCAGACTCTTCAGACACCTGGGCATTTTAAGTTTGCTCAGTGTCATATGGGTCTTTCCATGTCATTTTGTTTGGGCACCATGTTCTGTTCTGCTCTTTATAATGTTTTGTCTGTCTGTCACATCACCACGTCGTCCTCCTCATCAAGCACTCTTTATTGAAGGCCCGTGCTGCCAGAGTGTTTTGAATTGGATCCCTGTCCTTTAGGAATTTAAACTCCAGTTAGGGAGATAAGAAAAATATACACATGGAAAAGTTACAAGTCAACCAAAAACTGGCCGAAGGAAGAGCCTGGGAAGCAGTTACCACAGGTGAGCGGTTTAAAGCAGTGGCTTCTAGTTCTGGGCCTCGTACTGAGGCCTTTGAGCAGGATGTGGTCTGATGAAAGGAAGATTCTAGAAATAATCTGACAGTGGAAAGGGAGCTTCTGCTAGTTATTCATTCATTCAACACATGATTATTAAGTTTGTACCAGGCCTCAATAAGGAACCATTTATAACTTATTTTAATCCTCCTCAAAATAGCCCTTTGAGGTAGGTAGGTACATGGTGACCTTAGAGACAAGGAAGCTGAGGCCCAGAAAAGTGCAGTTACTCACCCAGGACCAAACAGCTAGAGAGAAGCAGACTGGGAAGCCATTCCTTGGGACGCTCAGCCCACACTCATCCTACACAAGCTGGTTGGGAGGAGGAAGACTAAGCCAGAGAAGCCCAGACAGGCCTGTATGCCATGCTCCGCATGGCTGCTGAGGACCTGGATGAAGATAGCATGCCTAGGGGAGAGGGCATGAGCACCTGAGTTAGCCCTCAGCTCAAGGCCCAGTTCTGCCTCAGTGTCCTCGTCCATGAAGTGGGAATGATGATGCCTAGTTTTCAGGGTGGCTGTGAGAATTAACAGTTAGCAATAATGTTTGTAATCCAATAGTGTGGGACCTGAAAGGTCTGTCCAAAAACGGTAGCTAATATTAGTAGCGGTAGCCCAGGGGTCAGTGAAAATGGTAAGAAAATTGAGAAAAAAATGAAGAGGAAAAAGAACTTGGTTATTGTGTTCATTTCTTGTGTTTTTCCGTGCTTTTTAAAAAAATGAGTAAATCATTTTTATTGCCACTAGATTATGTAGGTGAGCCACAAATACAGTCGGGTGGCCATTCTCAAGACTGGCAAGTCTTTGCATACTGGGGACCTTGCCGTTTGTTTGCATGATGAATTTTCATTCTTTTTTTCGCAGTAATGCCATTGGTCCCCTGGTAGCTTTGTGGCTTATTTACGAACAAGGTGGAGTACTGCAAGAAGCAGTCACCCCCGTTTGGCTGCTGTTTTATGGAGGAGTCGGAATTTGTACAGGTCTCTGGATTTGGGGGAGAAGAGTGATCCAGACTATGGGGAAGGACCTCACTCCCATCACACCATCCAGGTAAGCACAAGGGTTTGGGCCGGGTGGACGGGGCTTGTCATTTGAGGCCTGCAGCAGACCCAAGGTTGTTATGTGTGAAAACCCTCTCTCTCATGATCACCTTTGTCCCCCACTGCCCCTCAGCACAGCCACTGTGCACTTGGTTGTCACAGGGAAGAGGGGCCGAGGGTAAGAACAGCTCCCCCGGCCTTTGCTCTCCACCCACACGATCCCCATGCTACCCATCATCACCCTCTCTCACTGCCCTCCTCTGGCCCCCTACCCACAGTGGCTCAGAGAAGAGGGAGGGGAGAAAATGAGAGGGCAGGCAGATGGAACGAAGGGGAAGCAGAATAGGAGGGAAGAGAGAACAAAGAGCCCCACCCTGCAGTCCCCCAACCCACTCTCTGTTGGTCTAGCCCAGTCTGAGGGCCAGAGTGCACGTGGGGATGGAGCACACACACCACACCATGGGCCTAGGTCGGCCTTCCCTGAAAATCCTCCGGCCACCGGCCCCCCTGCTCTTCCCTTTGGGGAGGCCCCCATCAGACCCAGTCTGACCTCTTAACCCAGCTCTCACCTGTCATCCTTGTCCATCTTTCCTCCGGCTCATCCGGATGAGGATGTGTCCCACCATCCTAGGGTGGGGTCATGGAGGTCCTCTCAGATGTTTTCACGTGGCCATTCTGTTTTGTGGAAACCCTGGTGGCGTAATGGTTAAGAGTTCGGCTGCTAACCAAAAGCCGGCAGTTTGAATTCACCAGGTGCTCCTTGGAAACCCTATGGGACAGTTCCACTCCGTGCTGTAGGGTTGCTATGAGTAGGAATCGACTTGATGGCAACGGTTTACGGGTATTCTGTTTTGTAGACAGTTATTCCTATTCTTTAGATATATTAGGGGTTAAATAACAAACTTACAGGAAAACTTTCAGAAAAGAAGCAAAATTTGGAACTACCTATTGTAAGAAATCCTTTCTGTCTCATTTTTTGCAACATTGTAGGTGTTCTTTTCCTTTTATTTCTAATTTTAAGTTTTCCTACTTGAAATCCATCTTAATAAGAGATTCAGAAGATTGATTTGAAAAAAATTAGTAATCTAATAAAATTCACTTTTTTGCTTAAGTACACATCTTTAAAATGAAAGCATAGTTTTTCCTATGCCACTTTAGAAGTTACTCAGTTACTATTTAATGTAGCCATTTTTTTCAGAGCAGGAGTTTCTGTCCCAGTTACTACAATGTGTGGTTTTTGAAAAGCCTATCAGAAAAGCAAGGCTATTTACGGCTATAAACAGTATAATGCAAAGACTTAATGTGAATCGTTGCCTTTATACAGCAAGCAGTTTCTTGTTCTGTTAATGTTGTTCTGGCCCAGTCAGCAGTCAACAGTCGACCCACAAAATATTTTGAGACTCTGGCACCCTCAGAGTGTCAGTGATGGTGAGGCAGAGAGTGCGTGTGACTGTCTCCTTGTGCTCCCTCCCACAGTGGCTTCACCATTGAACTGGCCTCAGCATTCACGGTGGTGGTCGCCTCCAACATCGGGCTTCCTGTCAGCACCACACACTGCAAGGTAGGCCTCTGCCGAGGGACCACACTGCAGCAGGGTGGCTGGGGCCGGCCTTTCAGCGGGCCGTAGTCACCAAGCAGATTTGAGAAAAGCTGGTGCCACTTTGTGTGTGATTGTGAGAAAAATTCATCTCAAGGTCTGTTGGAAGCAGGCACATCTGCTTATCTCAGACTGTCCCTCTTGTATTTGATCCACAGACTTGCTTTCTTGTTCAGCAATGTGACACCTTCTACCGTTCCGACTTTGCTTTTTTGATGCACGCACGGCAAGGACTTTCCGTCTGTCATTGTGAGCTTCACGCTGTCTGTCTGTCCTGTTTCTCTCTCATTGTTTCCACAGTGGATCTTGCACTGAAGTCTTGTGTGTGCTAACCTTACTCATAGGCTCAAAGGGGGGCGTGCCACTCATTTGCAGCCATTGCAGGGGACTGGGAGTGCCAGTGGGGATAGAGATGAACAGAAATCATCTCAATGGAATTGTAAGAAACGGTTGTTTCCGTTTGTTTTGTTTTTCCTTATGTGGTGTTCAAAGTGACCTTACTGACTTAAAGTCCAAATGATGGGTAGTTTCTAATATTGATCAATGTCCTATGCTCTACAATGCAGGGCTACCCAAGGGGGGATGCCGTGACGTAGTGACAGAATGTTGGAGCCATAAGAAACCTGAAAGATAATGAGGAGGAGACAAGCTCAGTGAATTTCGGGTAGTTATCCAAGGTCACTTGGGGCTGAGGCAGGACTAGAACCCAGGCCCGCTCAGTGTTTGGAGAGAATTCTAAAATATCTTCAATGGGCCACCTACATGTAAAAGTATTCGCCAACCTCAACAAAGCAAAAGCCATTTCCAGGTTTTCCACAGGCTCGTTCATTCATATTATTCAAGAAAACCTCGGTCAGTACCTGCTGTGTGTTAGGCACTGGTCTAGGCACCGGGACAGCAGCGACCCAAACCCGCACGGCCGTCCACATTTACCTAAGATTTCAAAACACCAACCGATGTGTTCGTAAACAAATACTTACAAAACGCTCATGGCTTAGTGCTTTAAATGTGAAGGTGATGTAGCGTTTATGAAAGTATTTTAAGTGGGCCAGCATGTTTAAGACAGAGCTGGGACTCTATGGCATGAAGAATCGGCGTCATTGGAAAGAAGTTTTTTGTCTTTTCTTTTTTTGCTGCCATATATAGAAAAACCCCAATTCCAACAAATTATCATGATAAAACTCAGTACCACTTACTGAGTATATACTGAATGCCAGTTAACTGTGATTAGTGCTTTGTATATACATAATACGTCATTTAGTCCCAGTTTACAGATGTGAAAACTGAGGCTTCCAGAGTTAAGTCTCTTCCCCATGGTCACAATTAGCACATGATAGATCTGAGATTCTAAACTTCACCTCATGCTATACTGCCTCCTAATCATAGCCATAATGATCGTAATCATGGTAACTGACCACAGCCAAGATGTATAGAGAAGTACTCTGTGCTGGGCGTTGTTTTAAGGGTACCATGGATATTAACCCACTTATCCTCCCAAGAACCTTCTGAGGTAGGTACTAATGTTACCCTGGTTTTACGGATGAGAATTCTGAAGCATACCCACTGCTGTCAAGTTGATTACCGCTCTTAGCGACGTTACAGGACAAAGTAGAACTGCCCCATAAGGTTTCCAAGGAGCGGCTGGTGGTTTCGAACTGCCGACCTTTTGGTTAGCAGCCACGCTCTTAGCCACTGCACCACCAGGACTCCACTGAAGCATAGAAAGGTTAAATAACTTGCCCAAGATTCCACAGCTATTAAGTAACCCGCCTGAGGTTCCAGCCCAGGCAGTGGGGCCCGGAGCCCTGCCCTCAAGTGTTCTGCTGTTCTGCCTCTCAAATACAAAGAAGGAAGGCAGGGGAAGGTGAGGTACATGCGTGCCATTCATCAGTTGTTCTAACTTTAGTTTCACTTGTTTAAAAGATTACAAAAGAAGCACATGCTTATGGAAATATTTGAAATAATACAAAACTTCACAGGGCAAAAAGTGACTGCCTTCCCCCTTACCCCACCTCATCATCCGTGCACTGTGTATGGGGTGGGGGTGGGGATCAAAGAAAGGCATGCGATTAAATATAGTCCTTCTCAGAGAAATAGGCTTTAACTTTCCTGTAGGTACGAATGGTCTCAGGGGCTGCTTTTAGATAAATATTGCACTGTCTTTTAATGATTAACTTGAGCCTAACCAAGCCTAGTGAAAGCAAACTCTTTCACACCAGTTGGAAGATCTCTTGAATGAACAAACAGTACAAGTTTGGTTTTTCTGTTTGCTGTTGCTTGCTAACCTACCTGCATGAGCAGTCTTACCTATGCTAATGTAAGAAGTGTTTAAACTCACAATATTATTTTTGCTAATATGACTAAATTCCAGTGTTAAAATTAAAATTAAAAATGTAAGTTAAACTCTTATATTTTATCTTTAAATGTCATTTCCCTAATACTTGTGTTTATACTGCAGTAGGGGGAGGGGGTTATAGAAGGTATTTGTGTCTAGTTCATACAGGACCTTAATGAATAAATGTGTATGTTATCATTATTCTAAAATAGCTATACAGACAATATAAAACCAGAACCAAACCTGTTGCTGTCGAGTCAATTCTGACTCATAGTGACCCTATCGGACACAATAGAACTGCCCCATAGGGTTTCCAAGGAGGGGCTGGTGGATTCAAACTGCCAACCTTTTGGTTAGCAGCTGTAGCTCTTAACCACTGCGCCACCAGGGCTACGGGGCTCCATAGGTTTTATTTCCTTAGAGTTTATAATAAGTAGTATTAAGATAGCCTGTTGGTACTTGAAAACAAGCTTTCTTAACGTGGGACTACAGTGGGTGTCATCTATAAAATAGACTTGAGACAGAGCTCAGCTTGGATTCTAGTTGATTGGATCAATATCATCATTGATCATGGACTTCTGGACAAAGCCCAAAGCTAGTCACTGCAATAGGTAAGGGACAGAGTCCTGCTCTCAACTACTTGGCAGTATCATAGAAGAGCAATCGACTCTCATCAAAGTCCAAATAATGTAAGTGCTAAGAAGAGTTGACAGTTGCCATTCACCCCATAATCCTGTTTCTCTTATGCCACATATTTCTTCTGTATGCAACAGTCTCAGAATGGCATGTGTGGGATGAAGTACGAGAAGTGTGGGATGGGGTTAAGAATGAGGCCTTATGTAAGGGCAGCCAGAAATGTGGAAACATCCAAAGGGCATTCATGTCCATATGAAAACCGTAACTGAATCCTATCCGTTTTTTCAGGAATAAGTACCCTGTTTGATTTATCCAGCTCTTTGCTTCCTCTGCTATCTACTTTTCAGGTTTCTGCTTAGAGCCCCACCACTAGAAAGTGGCCAAAAGTTGGGAACTTGGCAGGAAAAAAGATGGAAACTCTTGTTTAAAATAAGCATTTGAATTTATCTGGGTGGATGTCATTTTTCATGCTTCCTTCTATCACTAAGTAAACATAGATAAGCACATAATTTAAATTTTGTTGTACCCTGTTCAAAACATTTATAAAACCCCATTACATTAAATGATATGTTAGCTGAATGTATATTTGGAAAAAGAATTGTTAGAAAAATCGTATTACCACATTGTATTCCAGAAGCCATAGATATTAAGAGAATCTGCTTTAAGTGTAAGTTTTGCATTCTGCAAGTGTTTGAGGTTTATACATTTTTTTAATGTTGTATTGGAGGACTCAGTTCATTAGATATTTTCCTGGGATAATATCTCTAATCAAGATCAAAACTTTAATTAAAGCAATAGAAACTAATATTGAAAATAAAATTGTCCACAGGTGTATGCGAACTTTCCCTTCTGTGAGCCTTTGTCAAGTTTGGTCTGTAGTCCTAACATATAAAACACAGAGAGTGACCACTGCTGAATGTAAACATTTGTTTGTGAGCTTTTTCATAGAAATTCAGAGTGGTGATATCCACATTTCTTAATTCCAGATTGTGGTGATTTGTGTTTATTCTTTTTGCAAGTTATCTGCTTGTCATCTCTGTTGATGACATAGACGATCACGCATCGAGCCTTTGAATTTGGAACAGCATGTCTAGGAAACACTACTGATTTAAAAATTTCGGGTTATAATTTCTAAGTTAATTTTATGACTCTTGCTCTCTAGCTCTCCTACCACTCAATAATTCTATTGCAGTTAATGCATAAAGACAGCCTTAAGCTGGAAACATACTCAGTTTATGAAAAGGGAAATTGGAACCCAGCGAAGAAAAGCATTTTGTATTAACAAAAGACATACCATATTTTTATGCAAATAACATGCACATCATATTTTTTTTGCTAACTTCGCAACCCCCCTCACTATTTTCATAAGTGAGCTATGCCTTGTGTTACGTGTGTGCGGGCACATTATTTATGTGGACATATCTGCAAGAATATGGTAATCAATAGTGAAGACCTAATACTCTTGATCCTTAATGATCCAAATAACATAACAACTAAATACATAAAGCAGAAGGTATTAGAACTTGTAAATTAACATGTCTAAGCCTATGATAAATGAAGTAGACAAAATTACCAAGAATACAAAGGATTTGAACAATATATTTCGAGCAGTATAATTAATAAATATGTATTGTATTTTGTACCCAACTGATCATATGTCTTCTTATCAAGTATCATGAAACATTTTTAAAAATTAATCATAGATTCTGAAAGCCATGATAAGAATCTCTACAAATTTTTTTTAAAAGCTCAAGTTGTGCTAACCACAATTTCTAATCACAATAAATTAAACTAGAAATTAATTATATGTTGAAAAAAGAAAGTATCCCCTTGGAAATGTTCAAATACTCTTCTAAGTAGCAACTGAATCACTGAGTTTTTAAAAATACAATGATAGCTTTCTTGTCGAATAATAAAAAATAAATATGTGTGTGTGTGTACACATAGCAAAGCCTATGGCAGCCAAAGTTACGCTAAGATAAAAATTCACATT